TTTCCATGATAATGGTTCGGATGATTTGGCCGAACATGATGATCGGAATCACGCTTGGATGGTGATTCACATGCACAAGGAGCTTTACACAGGTTGCAAAACCTTTGCTTGGGATTAGGATTTCTTCTCGGATGATCCATGCTTCAAGGATTCTGAAACTAGGGCAAACAGATGAAAGAATGAGAAGAAAAACAAAAAGTTATGGTGTTTGAGTATGGTTTACTTCCTATGATGTTTTGGCAGAAACTCGACATATATAGTCTTTTGTGGCTTCAACCTCCCAGGTTTAGACCTCCAGCGACTAAAAACCTACCCGGCAACGGCGCCAAAAACTTGATGGCTTGCGGGCCTAGGGTTGCGAGCCTAAGGTTGCGTTTTTACCAAGCCCATTGGTCCTCAAAAAGTTTTAAATTTATAAAATCCTAGTGTCTGCAAGTGTACAGATGTACATTGTAGGACTTAGGGTGTCGATCCATAAGGAGGATGTCTAATCTACAATAAACAACAAACTGGGAAGTAAGGAAAGTCATAAACTCATGGGATTTTTGGGGTTTTTGGTTAAGAATCCTAAGCTAAACCTAATCTAATATTCACAAGAAATAAGATGCAATACATATAAATTGTTAAAAGAACATCTCAAGCATATCGACTCAAACTATAGATCTAAACTCATAGGTGGCGATTTAGACTTCTCCGGTTTACTCTAATCGATGTCAAAGCATTTCCAATTAGCCTCCGGGCGATTTATCTTCATCTGTTTCTGGGATCTGCATGGAACTAGAATAGAAATGTGTATGATTAACCAACTTTCGCCATCTGAATCAACTAATCACACAAATCTGACAATTTACTCTCGCTCTCATACCTTGCACTTTTTCTTAGACGGCTCGTCCTTGTGGGAGGCTACCCCTTTTCCTTTCTCAGACGCAGCCGTTTGTGGCCAGTCGTGTAAAAACAAGTTGGAAGCAGGAGGCCTTGTCGACTGAGGAAGGGCAAGAACGTCTGAGGCGTTTGGCGTCTGACTCTGGGCTCTGGAGCTTTCCTTTGACGCCTCGGGAAAAATTTCCCCCGATTCTACCTCGGTTGCCTTCTCTTCAGTAGCTATCTCCTCGGCAATATTTCCTGCGGTGATAGGGACATCGTTGTTCCCCATCTCAGGATTCGGCGGATCCTCTCTTGCTGTTGCCTCTCCCCTTTGCTGAGCGGCCTCTGCGGCCCGCCTTTCGGCCTCCTCAAGAGGAAGGCTTTGGTTCATCAAGAGGAAGTGATTTATGATCTTGTTTTTCATCTCCAAAACACTTGAACGAATCGGTAGAGACGAGATCATCACTAGGGATAGAAATAGGTTCTCCCTTTCCTTGATGACGGGCTTCTATAACGTGATGATCCAAAGGAATTTCATTTGATGGCCTCTTTCTAACAAATTTGATGGAGGATTCTCCATCAACTTCAAAAACTACCCAATACCCGTCATCCATAGATTCATTAAGCTCTTGAAGCATATCATCAATCTTGGTTTGGGAGACAGACGGCATATCTTCATCAAAGAGAGGATCATGGATATCTCTGTGGGCATTGTAAGTTGAATAAGGGTCATGGTCCTTGTAGAATCCTTGTTCCTCTAAAACTTCGCGGATTGATTTGTTGTGGCTGCGAAGTCCTCTTGTGTGGTGGTTCGGAATTGAATTCTGATCCATTGAAGAGAGATCACGAATGTATTGTGCTTCTCGGCGTCGAGTGGCTTGAGGAGTGTTGTAAAAACCTCCCTCATAGTAGTAATTTTGTTTCATATAGTTCATTAATTCATAACCTGAAACAAGAAGAACCAAAAACGATAATAAGTAGAAAAGGTGCTCTAGAGTCGATTTACCAACCTTTCTTAGGGTTTTGCGGAAAAGAAAACGCGTGCCTTCCCCGCGACGACGCCAAAAACTTGATGGGGTCTGCGATGAGGGTGTCAAGTTTTACCTTAAATGAAATCAATAACTGCAAGTGCACAGCCGAACGATTGTAGTACTTAGGGATCGAATCCACAGGGAAGGAGGATCTTTCCTGCAAAAGCCTTTGAAAGAAATATAAAGTAAGGAAGACTAGAACCAGGCGATTTTTGTAGGGGTTTTGGTGGTGTTTTTAAAACGTAAAAAAATAATCTTAACGAGAAAATACGGGAACTAAAATGACCTAATCACTAAACTTAATGAAATCAACTAAAAACGAGAAAAACGGCTAAACCTAATTGCTTAAATGAAAATCGATTGAAAGAGTAAAAATTCTGGACTAAAGCTTGAATGAAAATCGGTGTAAATCTATAGAAAAGAATGCGCTGGGTTTCAGGGAAGTTTTCTCAGGGGTATGAACGATTCAAAACATTGCTAGATAGTAAATTTGATAAGATCTTAGCTTAAACTTTTCGAACTAGAGTCACGGACGTATGACTACGCCACTGTCGTGATCATAGACAACTATCTCTCTCATCTCTTACCAGTAGGTTTCCACTCTGGCTTTAGAAGAGAAAAGATGCATTATGTTTAAGACTCGTCAGCATTCACAAATCGCCCATAGGTAGGTTTCCACTCCTATGTTTGTTTTGCTCTCCCAAACTATATCTGACACCAGATGAACACTTTCGTGTCACCAAGCATCTCGATCAGATTGTAGTTCAAGACGCTACTCTCATGCAGTAAAAATAAATTCAGAAGAAAAAGTTCTAAGAGCAGGTCCAGTGGGGGTTTGGAGAAAGAGTTCAGGCCCGGGTTCATAGGCAAAGTGGATTTAAAAAAAAAGAAATAAAGCCCATTATTGACGGATCGGTTCATCTGCGCGAGCTCGACGACCCCGTCTCTTAGCCACGTGTCACACTGCGATTGGAGGAGATATTGTGGTAATTTTCGGGAAAGGAAAATTATTTTGGGCAAAAAATTCATTTCATGTTTCCCCTCTTTTCTTCTCCTCTCTTCCTCTTCACCTGCGATTCGCGACGACTCCGTCAAAATCGTTCAGTCCGGCGTCAATTTGCGGTGGTTTGTTCATCTGAGGATCGCCCATCCGTCTACATCGGCAAGGTTAGTATCTGTCCTTGCGTTTTCGTTGATTTTTGTCCGATTTGAGTTTTAGGGTTTGCGATTTTTTTTGGGTGAAAATTTTGGTGCTCAATCGGGGGTTTTTTTTGGGGATTTATGGTTCAATACGATATTTAGTGGCCTATTTGAAACTCATAATCAAATTTGCGAACGGTATTTGTATGATTTCAAAAAAAAATTGAAATCTGGAAATTAGGGTTTACGCGATTTGGGAAAAAAATTTGGGGGTTTCTTTTGGGGTTGCAATTGGAGATTGAAACAATGAAATACAACCGTATTAGACCTACTTCAGTGGTTGATTGCATCGATTATGAATTTTTAATCGATGAAATTAGGGTTTCAGAATTTGGTGGAAATTTTTTGGGGCTTTTGCTCGGGGGTTCAAATTGGTGTTTCCAACTATCACTAGCATCATTCGTCTCTATGTTTAAAGGCATTATCGAATATGAATTTAGGTTTTGTTTGTATTTTGTGGGTCGTTTGGCTTTGTTTGTCTTGCATTTCTTTTTTTTTTAGAACCGTCAAGGCTGATAGTGGGTCGATCAAAATGTTATTGTTTTATATCGTTTGTCTTTTGGTATATCGTTTGGCTTTGTTTGTCTTGCATTTCTTTTTTTTTTAGAACCGTCAAGGCTGATAGTTGGTCGATCAAAATGTTATAGTGCTATATCGTTTGTCTTTCTATTGTACTGATCCTCTTCTGTTTTAGGCAGATAATGCCAAGCTACAGCAGCGGTTCATCGGAGGAGGAGGTCCCGTACTAGGCTTACGCGGATGCCACGTATGGCATACCCGCGAAGTGCTTTTGTGGCCGGGTCGTGAAGCTCCAAGAAAACGCATCCGGTCGCAAGTATTATTCTTGCCCGGAATGGATTAACGAGGTAGGTTGTCTTTTCGTTCAGTTTTAATTTCCAATATTTATGTTAGTCTTGCTAACAATTTGTAATGTTTGTAGGGCACTTTTGACCACATTCACCAATGGTGGGATCACTCTGTAACAGAACACATTGAAATCCTTGAGACAAGGATAGAAATGCAGCAGGATCTTATCCGCAGCGTTGATCGGGTCACCTGCACATCTGTTGATCCAGCCGTTGGAGAAAACTGAGAAGACATTGCAAGGCTTAAGGGTGAAGTCAGGGATTTGGAGGAGCAGCTTCGTACTCAAGGTGACAGATTGTCTATGCTTTTTTTTGTATGTGTTATTGCTGCTTTTGGTTTAGTCTGTAGGGTTTAGAGATGGCTAGCATTGTTTAGGGTGTAATGTAACATTAAGTAGTTTATTTCGGCTCAAGTTATTTAATGATTATAATGGTCTGTTTGAATGTTTTTGTGAGGATATTTGGACTTGACGGGAACAGAAATGATAGTGGACAGCATATGGCTCATCCATTAAAGGTCAGTTCTTTTCTAACTTGAATATTTGGTAACTTAAACTTTGTTTGTGTTAAATGTGATAGGTAACTGGCTAGGTTGTTTTAGTTAGCTTTATGAGTGTTATTGTTTATCAATGCTTGATATGACAGAATAGGTTTAGGTAGTGTTTTAAATGGTTGTTAAAACCTGTTCGCAAATGTTTACAACTTTTACACGAACTTGAAAACTCAAATTAAAAGACTCCCAACTACTATTTCTTTTAAACATAAAAGACACTTAGCCATAAAGACCATGAAAAGACTGTCAACCATAATTTAAAAGACACTCAACCATAAATTAAAAACCCCTAAACTCATTCAATACCTTTCACTCTCTTCTCGGGTTCCATTCTCTTTATATCTCGGCTCTCTGTTCAGTCTCTTCTCGGTTTACATTATCTTAAACTCTCTTCTCTCTTTCTAAACCCTTGTTTTCTCTTTAAGTCACAGTCCTCTTCTCCTCTTTTAACTACTCTTTCAACTCCTTCCACTCGTTCCAGTCTTTATGGATTCTCAGAACTCTTTTACACAGTCTGATGGGTTTGTAAACCTGCTAACCAGTCAGTTAAACCCTGACTGTTACTCGCCGTCCATAGAAATAGGATCATCTGAGATTCCTTTGTTTAGTACACAAGGATCTGATGATCCTACTGATGGTGGAACGAAGAGGAAAGTCTGGTCCCCGAAGGAAGACCTCGCCCTCATCAGCGCGTGGCTCAACACCAGTAAGGACCCGATTGTGAGCAACGAACAGCAAGCTGGGGCTTTCTGGAAGCGTATTCAGTTGTATTACAACAACAGCGAGGATATAGTTGGAATGCCAAGGAGAGAGTGGTCTCAATGTAAACAAAGATGGGGTAGGATCAATGACCAGGTATGTAAATTCGTGGGATTATACGCGGCTGCGCAGAAGGAGAAAAGAAGCGGTCAGAATGAAAACGACGTTATGAAGCTTGCGCATGAGATCTTCTTCAATGACTACTCTATCAAGTTTGCTTTGGAACATGCCTGGAGAGAGTTAAGATTTGACCAGAAATGGTGCACGACTAGCAAAGTCCAGGATGGTGCGTCAACCAAAAGAAGAAAGGTTGATGACTCGGCTCAGTCATCAACTTCCATACCTGCAAGCGAGAATGAAGAAGTTGTCGAGGTTCGTCCACCTGGAGTCAAGGCTGCAAAGAAGTCATCGCGTGCTAAACCTGATAACAAGGACATGAAGGAGTTTGGTTCCATGTGGGAAATGAAACATAAAGACTTAGAGATGAAAGACAAGATTAGGGACAAGAGGATTCTTGAAACCATTTTGGCTAAGACTGAACCACTCACTGAGATTGAAATGGCATTAAAAAACAAGCTAATTTGTGCGATGTATGATCTTTAGGGTTTAGGCTGTCTGACATTTGCTTTGTGTTAGTTTTTTTTTCCTAATCCGGTTGTATGATATTTAATTTAAGAACTTTTATTTGCCATCGGGTTCTATATGTATGAACTTTGTTTGACATTTCGTTATGAACTTTGGCTTCAATGTTGGTACTTTGTTCAACTTTTGGTCATTCAATGGCTGTCACGGGACTATATCTCTACCTCTCCTTGCTTTTATTTTTGCAGGTAGTGTCAGATCAATTTGGCCACTTCATGTCGATTATTGATCCGTGACCAAATGCGCCAATATTGGAGGGGCCATATAGCTTTTGTCTTCCTCGTTTGTAACCGCATATTTAAGTTGTAATGCAGACCATATGTTCGAACTATCATTTTGGCCACATCTTTGAACTTATTCCATGTATTTATATGAGAGAGGGCAGACCATATGTTATTCATACTTGTAACCTTCATTATATCTCATCTTGGTATCAAAGTGTTTTACTTTCTCATCTTGCAATCTAATTCTATTTCGTATCTTCATATCAAAGTGTTTACTTTCTCATCTCGCTATCAAACAGCCACAACGTTTTTCAAACACAAAACTCTTGAACCTCATTTATTTTCACCTTCTTCTCATAACTTTATCTCTTAGCTCACACTCTAAAACACAAAATATGGCAGCTTCTTCAAGCAATGGATATGATGATAAAGCTGATGATGCATTAGATGATGCATTCGATGATGCATTTGATGATGCATTTGATCAGAAGTTTGAGGATATGTTTTATTCTATAGTTAACCAACATGAAGAAAAAAGCATTCATTGAGAGACAGTGGGAAGAAGGTCACAACCGCTTATGGAACGATTATTTCAGCGAAGAAGCAACCTATCCGCCACATACATTCCGACGCCGTTTTAGAATGAACAATGATTTGTTTTTACGTATTGTTCACCGCCTCTCCGATGAAGTTCCATATTTTCAACAAAGAAGAAATGCTATCGGGAGATTAGGTCTGTCTGCTCTACAAAAGTGTACGGCGGCAATTCGTATGATGGCATATGGTATAGCAGCTGATGCAGTTGACGAATATCTCCGGCTCGGTGCTAGTACAGCATTGTTCTGCTTAGAGAATTTCACAGAGGGCATAATATCCTTATTTGGAGATGAGTATCTAAGAAGACCTACCCCTGATGATCTTGAACGCTTACTAAACCAAGGCGAGGAACGGGGATTTTCCGGGATGATTGGAAGCATCGATTGTATGCATTGGGAGTGGAAGAATTGCCCAACCGCATCGAGAGGTCAATATACACGCGGATCAGGAAAACCGACTATCGTTTTAGAGGCAGTAGCATCACAAGATCTTTGGATATGGCACGCATTTTTTGGACCTCCAGGTACATTAAATGATATTAACGTTCTTGATCGGTCACTAGTTTTTGATGACATCTTGCAAGGTCGAGCTCCAAAAGTGAGATATGATATATTCATAATTTGCATCATTTAGGTTGCATAATTCATTCTAAATCATGTTTTATTCCATGCATTTTAGGTCCTTAGGGTTTGTTTTAGAACTTAGGAGATGCATTAGGTCCCAATGAGTCTCTGCATGTTTTGAGTGTTTATCAGGTGTATTTGGAGCTGAAAAGATGAATCCAGGAGGTGGAATGGTGATCAAGGCTTGAAAAAGGGTGAAATTGGGTTTTTGGAGTTATCGGCCATTCTCGCGTACCAGGTAGGTTTTTACCGGCCATTTTCATGTACCGCGGGTAGACCTTATCGGCCAAAACGCGTATCGCGAGTGGATTGTATCGGCCAAAATCTCTGGGTGCAGACACGTTTCCGAAATCACCTGTCCGGGGAACCTTCCGGTCCGATTCAGATGTCGGGTGCTTCATAGAAGTTGGAGAGGATTGGATCACGGTTTCATATCAAGTGGAATCATGGAATTCGGACGCGTGATCAGAGAGTTAAGCTCGTCGGAAGAAACCCCTGTCTCGCTGCTGTTTTGGACCAAGCCGATGAGCTCTGAAGAATGCGAAGGACGGTGTACTTCCAGGCCGATTCAGTTTCCGGGGCCTTCATGAGAATCAGAGACATTTGAGTCTGCTTTCCAGAACGTCCGAGATTATTCAATTCGGAGCTATGAGCAGGAATATACGGTCTCCAGAATGGACACATGTCTAGACGCCTCTCTCTGTTCGTGTAAATGCACTGCAAAGATGTGCCCTCCAGGAAGCCTTCCACTTCCCAAGCACCGAACAGCCTTCACCAAAGTTGGAGATAAATGAGTCCTCTGTCTTCTGCAACCTGAATCACTCAATTCGGACAAGTATCGTAGAAGTTACACTCTCCGGAATGCGAAGTGGTCGAAGCTACTCTGAGTGCTGCGAGATGGTCTTGCGACTTGGTTCACCCGCAGGCCTGAAGATGAATGCCTGAAAGCTGATGCTGCGAGTTGAGAAGTGCGGGTAAGCTATCACTGGATGAGTTCTGAGGCTCCCGAGCAAGAGAAATGCTAAGTCCACAATCGTGCGACTTAGGTATGCGAGTAAGCCGCGCCTGGAACTAAGCCGCACGATCACTCGCAAATCACTCCGACTTGAGCCTGCGACCTATGTATAATGGAAACCAACCCGCACATATGCACATTCCCCAGAAACCGCCTTGGTCCTGCGAGTTGAAGAAGAAGAAGATCAAGCCGCAGCAACACTCGCAAAACACTCCTACTTGGGCGTGCGGCTAAGACAAGACGATCTAAGTCTCACAAGACAGGTTCTTCATCTACTGCGACTTAGTCATGCTACCTGGGAGATACTGGACCAACCCGCAGGATTCCCACTTTATCCATTAAAGCCGGGTCAGGACCCGGTTTGTTCCGGGCTGACCCGGTTCGTTTTTAGAGAGATATAAATACTTTTTAGGGTTTTTTCTGAAGGAACTAAGCTTTATTCCCTTTGTATCTTGCCTCTTTTGTGAAAAAGACCCCACCAAGAAGAGAAATATCGATTTTTCAAGTTAATCAAGAGAGTTTAAGAGATCTTTGAGTTTTAAAGCTGCTTTCTTCTTAATCTATCATCTCCATCTCCATTTCTCATCATTAATCATGCTAATCTTCTCTACTTGCAAAGGTTTAAGAGAGATTAGTATGATTAGTGAGTAGTCACCTTAATGAGGTTCTAGATGTGTAGGTTAGGGTGCTAAAGTGTTAGATTAGGAATGCTTAGGGCTAGATTCATTGATTCATCTCTCTAAACAGCTGTTCTCTATGCTAGATCCTTGCATATCACTTGAGATCTAGATTCTGGGAATTTCATGCACCAAAAGTGTTTGATGAAATTCTTGAAAGAGCTGTATTAGGGGTTTAAGCATTTTCTGCATGATGATGTATTGTTATTTGCTTGAATGATCATTAAGAACTGTCTATTAATGCATATTGATTCATATTTCACAAATGGGAATTTGGTTTGAAAATGGATTAGTGTAGGGGTTAATACCTTCATGAGAAGATTAACCTAGATTAGAGTTCTTAATCATTTGAATCATGTCTCATCATTGTCATTAGCATTTCTAGTTTAGCACCAAAGCACCCTAACCAACTATCATGTCTAGAATCTCATGCCTCCATCATATCATATTCACATCATTTGTCATTGTCATTAGTCTTTTATTCTGTTTAAGTTTGTAGTTGTCATTAGTTAACCAAAACCACTCTTGTTTGCTTGAATTAAGAACCTGATCACATAGTTTAGTGTCTAACACCACATCTGGATTGATAAACCCCTTGTACTACAAGACAGGGGATTGATAACCTCTATAAAGAGCCTTGAAAACTCTTAGTTATCAAGATACTGGGTAAACGGTAACGAGTATCGTTTGCCATATTATCTCACAGACGACATTTACCCGAAATGGGCTACCTTTATACAATCAATTCATCTTCCTCAAGGAGAAAAAAATAGCAAATTTGAAACTAAACAAGAATCCGTCTGAAAAGATGTGGAGCGGGCTTTTGGCGTGCTGCAAGCTAGATTTGCAATTATCAAAAATCCCGCTCTTTTTTGGGATAAAGAAAAAATTGGGAAGATTATGCGGGCTTCTATCATATTACACAATATGATAGTAGAAAACGAACGACATAGCTACACTCTAGCCAATATAGAACAATTCCAACAAGAAGATGGAAGCAGAAATTCGCATGTGGATAGGACGTATTCTAGATGTATGCCTACAAATGTCTCAAATTTGATGATGGCAAAACGAAACGAACTCCGTGACAGACAGATACATGAACGATTGAAAGCGGATTTAATCGAAAACATTTGGAATAAATTTGGTTAACTATTTTTATATTATAAATATTGTATGTTTTTAATTTTCTTGTATTATTTTGTGTTTTTTAAATTGTATCTTTTAAGATTATGGGTAATGATTTGTATTTTTAAATTATAATACTTGTGTTAACCAAAAAAAATTGTTAACAAAATAAAAAAATAAGATTTTATTTCGGATGAACCCCGAAATGAGGTTCACTACTGGAACCATAATTTTACCCGAAGTTCGTCCCACACAAAGCAAACCAAAAATATTAATTTTAAAATCCGATGAACCCCATGGAGAGGTTCACTACTGGACCTGCTCTAAGATTCGGCTTCAATAGCTCATGGAATCCTCATCGAACATATGTATCCCATCGAAAATCCCTTAGACCCAACAATAAAACTACTCAGACATGAAGAACGAATCAAAAGCTAGTTGTCTCCTTTATATTAGGTCTAATTTTGGGGATGATCAGACGGTGAAAAGGTCATCATCGGATGTGAAAATTATGACGACCTGAATTTATCCAAACTGATCTTTTGCTCCAAAATGCACACCTTTTGTCTTAATTATTTGAAAAGAGTCTTGGAACTAAAAATAAAAAAAATAGTAAAAACACTTAAAAAATAAAATATATTTTAAAAGATTTAAAATTGATCCACAAAAGTGGTCAAAATACGGTGTTATCACCTTC